ACAACAGAGTTCAAACAGTGCAAAGTAGCTTTACTCTGTATACTTTAGCTGCATTACCATAGCAACAGTCCTGATACTTTTTGAACAGACCTTGTACATAGTGAAAATTGTCTAAAGTGTTTAGACAAAGAAAGCTTTACGCGAATACAGGGGGTGATTGAAACATGATTGGCTTGACACAATTTACAAAAAGAAAAAAAATAGAAAAGGCTAGCTTTTCCATTTTCTCAAAAAAATAAATAAAACAAAGAATTAAAATAATACAAAGAATCTTTTTTATATTCTTTTGATAATATTTCATTTTTTTTTTTCAAATTATATAATAAAATAAAACCATGATATTGATAAGAACCCCTTTCAATAATCAACATTTTTCACATTCATTTTATTTATTAACTATTGTTAATGATTAGTAAAATAAGATAAAAAGGTGCTTTCTATAATTTTAAAAAAGGGTTATTAATGTAAATTTGTTTAGACTGTTGAACACATTCTTGATATTGTTACCACAAGTTTTCAGCCAATTTGCAGCCTTCTTCAGATGTGCAATCCGAGAAGAGAAGGGTCTGTACCTACTTGCTATGGAAACCGCAGTGGCAATGCCTAACATGTTGAGGCTGTGGCCAGATACTCCACAATTGGAGTTTACAAGATTTGAGTGAGTCAGTATTAAACTCGTATAAAAATTCCTGATGAAAAGAGTCTGATGTTGAAAAACCTGAAGCTTTTTATTTGAGAAATCTTATTAAAGAAAAATTTGCACTCTTTGATGTCCATCAGGTTAGAGGGAGTCACTGTTTAACCTGGTGTGCCTTACTGCTTGGCTACAAAGAAACAGACAATCATATAAAACAAACAGGTGGACAGACACTCTCTTGAGTCTGGACATTGATGGTGATGTGATCTAATTTAATTTGGTTTGGTTTATGGTCCCCAGATATCCTCAAAAATCCCAAGTCATTTTTCATCACATACATTTTTGTCTTTCTTTCATTTTAACCTAAGGAGGTCAACAAGAGTATATGCTCTCAATGAAACATGTAATTTATAAATTTTCCACTTTGTCTCATTTTCATAACAAACCATATCTGGAGAGGGAAGGTCTCATATAGTCCTCTCACAAATGAAGTCCTAATAATAGACAGGGAATACTGCTGGAAAGAAAAAAAAACTGAAAGAAATAGCATATACAAGTGATGCTAAAAAAAATGACCAAAATCTGACCAAATATCATGGAATGGGAAAGGCCTTTTGGTCAGGTTGAAAACTTTTCAGCACCTCCTTGGATTATATGTTGTTGAATATATGTAAGCCAGTACAGAGTGCTTTACTTTATTTAGCAAATAGAGGATTGAAGAATATTCCCAATCTCATATAGAATCATTTACATTATGCAAGTGCAGAGAATATCTATATTCTAGCATACTTTTCATTGATTTGTTTTTTTTATGGCTTATCAACCTTATGCAGGTTATTTAAAGCCAGAAAATATTTTTAGATCATAAAATTTCTTTTGGGGAAAAACTAATGATTTGCTGATACAAGTCCTACTATTTAACCCATAACTGGGGTTAAAGAGGTGCATTTGTATCTTTTCTAAGCCTATTTACGTGTAAGTAAATATTATGAACCCTGACAAAATTGGAGCATGGCTTTCTGATTTACAATTGCCAACTGTTATCCATTAAACCACCTGCATATGCAAGCTTACAGTACCTGATATTCCCAAGTGGTCACCTAGGTATTTACCAGGCTTGATGTTGCTTAAGCCTGCATACCTCTAAATCATGGACCTTGGTGTCAGATATAAAGATACAGTGATGAGATGCTCTTGAAAAACTAACAAAAGTCATATACTCAATGAAAAGGTGCAAGACAAAATCAAGCAAGCCATCTGATAATGTGACAGCCTTTGAACCAGTGAAGAGATACAAACTAAAAAGCTGTGGGCATGTTTGTCAACAATAGGATCTACGTCCCTTTTTACCAACAGGAATTATGGAACCTATCTTCCAAATCAACACATCTCAATAGCAATTTAGCCTGTCTTTTGTGTTTTTTCATTTTTTTTTCAAACTTTGTATCCTTTAAACCAAACTTGAATCTTTGTAGCAGCATCAAAAAGGATTTCCCTCATCTGTATTCTCATTGGATGAAATTTCCTCTAAAGCATCATCAATCACTTTCCTTTCAGCAGGAACTTTAACATCTTCACTGGCATGAGCTTCCATCTATCTCTGCAGCAAAAACGCCAACATCTGCTTAAGCTACATTAAATGAATCCTTTTTATAGAACCAATCAGCAATGCTTGCCAAGACAGTTCATTGATGAAAAAGATTGAGAAGGTGAAGTAAATAGAGAAAGCAATACAAGGTAACTGAATGAATAGAAATAAAGTTGAGTGATGCTTTGAGAGAGTTTCAAATGAGAGAGAGATAGGAACACTTTGTCATATGTCATATGTGATGCTTTTAGAGGTTACCAGATTATAAGATTACAATAATAATGAGAATTATATGGTATTGCTGATTCAATCTCTCTTGAGGAATCGGAGAACCGAGTTCAAATTCCAGTCGGATTCATTATATTCACTTACATGCTAATACCCTTGGGAAAGGTATGAATCCTCTTCTTCTCCCCCTCAGCTATGGGTAAATAGCAGGATAGATTGGGTTCTATAGCCTAGGATGGCAACTGGTCTACCACAGAAAGAAATGGCAACATACCATGGGAAAAAATCTGCCTTGTCAGTCATGATACATGATCTCCTATGCGTGTATCATGCATGGCCCATAACTGATTGATGGTATTGCCTCTATGGCTTGTGTTTTTGGGAATGAGCTGAACCAGTTGGTATATTTAGCTACAATTTTGTTTTTGTAATGAAAGAGGATTTTTAGCCTGAAGAAAACTAAAACACTCAAAACAGCACAAAGAATTAGTTCAATTATCAAACAACTCGTAGAAGGGTAAAGACTTCTTAAAATTATATCCAGTGACCAAACCAAAAAAAATTTTCATAAAGAAAAAAAATAACTAGACAGTGTCCCCCAAAAATTAACATAATTTAAAATGTGAATATCTGAATAACTACATGTTCCAGGCAAACAAAATTAAATAAGCTTCGTGTTGAACAATAAAAGATTTATTTATCAAAGTTCACACAAGATATTCAAAGGGGTGTAGATTTTATAACCGATTTCACAAAGCTTCACAAATGTTTAACATATGCACCACCTGTGACACAAAACTGTAACATGTCTTGTGTCAAACAATCTCCAGCATCTCAGAGCAGACTTATTTAAATGAGAATCTACCATCAGTTGGGTGTACCAGTGGTAATGACAATGTGCTGTTGAAATAGCCACCAAGTTCATCTGACTTGACACCTTGTGATTATTTTTCTATGGGGCTATGTGAAATGACAGATCTATATCCTCACCCCTCTTCCTACAAACCTAGAGGAACTCAAGCAGAAAATCACTGAGATGCTGGAGAATGTTATGCTAGACATGCTACAGTGAGTTTGGCAGGAGCTGGCCTACTAAATTGACGTGTGCCATGTTACAGGTGGTGTGTATATTGAAGCTTTGTGAAATGGATTATAAAATCTACATCCCTTTGAATATTTTGTTCAAATATTAACAAATAAATCTTTTATTGTTCAACATGAAGCCTATTTAATTTTGCTTGCCCGAGACATGGAGTTACTCTGATATTCACATTTTAAATTTCAAATTTTTTGAGATATCCTGTATTATTGAATAAAGAACAATTAGGAAATTATAACCGAGATCTTTTGCTCTTTTAGTATTAGAAATTTTTGGAGTGAATGATTCCAAGTTATGTTTGAATTTTTAAATTATATGCTTTATTTAAAAATTGAAATTTAACTCCAAATCATTTCTCTCTTCAATAATTTTGACATAACTAAATAACCAAGGTACATTAATCGATAGTGGCACAGACTGAGGAAGCAGGGAGCTGAGTTTGAATTCAAGTCATCATTACATCCCTTTATGTGCTAATACCCTTCGGAAAGGTAAGAATCCATCTCTTCTACCCCCAACTATGGGTTAAATAGCAGGGCAGACTGGGTCCTATAGCCTTCAATGGCAACCAGTCTAGAAAGAGGACAACTGAATTCAAAACCTGAGCAGCTAAAATCCACCTTGCATGTCATCTTGAAGAAAGAAACTGGCCCCCTACTTCTAGCTGAGACAGAAAATAATGGACTCCTCAGTCTTAGTACAATGGTTTGAACAAACACAAAAACTGAGTCACACCACGGCAATGTGAACCTCTCTGAATTTGGACCATCCGCCCAAGGGTGTATCACCCACAGCACTTTAGACAATGAACTAAATAGCAAAATATTTATAAATTTATGAAGATTTCCTAATTGTTTCTTATTCAGTCATTCTGTCAGATTTAATCCATATTTTCATCTTACACACACACAAAACCATTTTCTTTTTAATGTGGCTGTGAATATCTGTGGTATTTCTCAACAATGGTGGAAGATGTTATTGTATAAAAAAAGAACAAGAGTTGATATAGAGTTCACTCGAAAAACCAAGGAACATGGAAGAAAATAAAAAAACATTCTGTTTTAAACTTATTCATTTTATATCAACTTGAGTTAGTTTAGTTGATTGATGTTGTTGTCTACAATCTTTAAAATATTGAAGAGAAGAAATGGCCTGAAATTTGTTGCCATTATTTAGAGAAAAGGAAATTGTAAATAATTGGAGGGTGGAGAGAAGATTTATAACCAACAAAAAAAATATTTTTTTTTTTTTTTTTTTTTCTTTAAACAATAGCAGCAAATAAAACATTAAAAAAATAAATTTAGTTCTTTTTTCATTCACAGTAATCTAAAATTATTATAAACCATAAAATATTTCAAAAGAAAAAATAAAATTATTATTAGTCATGAATCTTATGCCAGCAGTAAAAGACCAAGTCTATTTCCTTATTGAAGAATACATCTAGACTGTCAGGACCATAAACGATAGAATCCAAGTGAAATGGTAAGACATGAGAAGATTGTTCCTGCAAAATAAAAAATAAAAATTACAATAAAATGGAGAAACTGCATCACATTCAAATAATAGACAAAGGTATATAACATTTTGCTTCTTTATTTAGCTAGTTTCACTAGCCTGTGGTTTAGGCAATTTACTTTTACTTTCTGTTATACAGTGTGTGGGAGAAATACCTCCCACATAATACTAAGACACTAGTGGCAATGGTGTCTTCCTCTAGCAAATGTCTTACCATGATGTGGGAGGTATTTCTGTCACAACCTGTACTTTTCTTTTTATGCTCTTGTGGTTTTATACAGAATTTGAATAATTTTTTTTTATTTAAGGATAAAAAAAAAAACAACACATTTTGGAATTTTTTTATAAATTTGCTGCAGAAATATTAAAAATAGGAGTAAGATACACAATCAATAATGCAAAGGAAAAATATTTAATTTTTAAAAAAGATTCTGAAATCATAAAATTACTACTAGTATACTTTTGTAAAACTTTTAAAATCCACAAAAAAAAAAGGTTAAATAAAAAAAAAAAAAAAAATATAATTATAGTCTCTTGTTATACATTAATTCACCCACCATATCTATAAATATATTCCTGCTTAAACAAAAGGAAGTTAGGCTGCCTTTATGTTACTGAACTCTGCATACATGAGATTTTAATAAAATCTTTCAATATTGCAAGTCAGCTAAAAAGTAAAGAAATGATATAAAAGGTAATTTGGCAAACTTGGATTTTTGTGCTAAAATGTTAAAAAGGAAGGTTTTTCCATTGAAAACACTATTATTTTAACTATTTTCACTCCTTGGTAATGTTTATTGTTTTAAAAAGCAATGATTACAATTGAAAAAAAACCTTACTATATGAAAAAGTATTTGTTCATTTTCTTTTTTCTTGAGAATTGACAATGAAAATAATAAACACTATTTATCAGATTATTTATTTAAACTATTAAATTGTTTACTGGCATGGTTAGCAAAAAAACATCAACTAATTACCAATTGGTTCAAACTTTATAAAATGGTAAATAATAAGGATTTTCTTATAGTTGGTTCACATATTTCTATAATTTAGTAAATGTTTAATCTTGTAAATTAACTATCTAAATGTTTAATATTTTTGTTGTAAATTCTCAAGAACAAAAAAATGTACACATTCACTTTCATCATATGTTTAGGTTTTATTACAATTCTAATTGTTGCTTTTTAAAACAAACATTGCTGACTAGTGAAGGTAGTTAAAATAATAGCAGTGTCAAGGGAAAACCCTTCCTTTTGACACTTTGTGGGCATGAAGGTCCAAGTTTACTGGTAATTTTTATTAATATTCAGCCAACAGCCTCCTGCATTTGTATGCTAAAATGGCTAGCTAAACTAATCCCTTATCTTCTAAACTAGAATCTAAGAAACCAAGCAAGGTTAATCCTAAGAAATTCAAATAGAAGAATATTATAGTTGTTATGACCTCTACTACAAAAGATCAATAGTAAAGAAAATGTAAACATAAGGAACTAAAAAAAAGAAAAAATATTTTATCAATGAAATCTGAACATTTAAAAAAATGTAGCAATTAAGATTTTATTTGTCTTAACATAAATTTCAAATTTAATGAGTTATCCTATTAAATATGCATTTTAAAGAAAAGTGTACCGAAGAATCATAATTTTTTTTTTTAAATTTAGACTGTGTGCATTTATAATGTATATTCAGCTTTTTGTACTTGGTAGGCTTATGCTAGATTTACATACAGCAAAGCTGTTAAGTTTTTTAAACAAGTAGGTAGGTAGGTCTTTCTTTTTCTTTCTTTCTTCTGTAAATGCACACACCACAATATTACTTGGTTGCAAAAGTATTTTTACTTTTTGATAAAATAGTAATAATGAAGGCCGTATTGGTCCAGAGTGATTTCAATTGTTTTTTTTTCTTAACCCTTTGTAGGTTATTTACAGCCAAAACATTTTTCTTGGATATAAGAATTTTTTTTTTTGTGGGTGAATATTGCATTATCAAATTTTTGAGAGAATAACAATGATTTTTCCAGATAAAAGTCCTACGATTTAATCAAATAACTGAAGGGAGAAGATGGATTCCTAGCTTTCTCAAGAGTAAGTTGCGTGTATGTGAATATAACAAACCTGATGATCCATAGTGTTGTGATATATAAGGAATAAAATCTGTCCATTTTAGGCTGTTCTGTTTCCAACCCAGTTGGAGAAAGAACAACACTATGTAAAACCAAAGACATTTATTAATCAATTAAAAAAAAAAAGAAGAATTATAAAAATTTAAAAAACTTAGTTGTTAGTTATATATACATATATGTGTGTGTGTGTGCACCCAGTGAAAAGATTACATAACGTAATTTACCAACTGTTTGGACCACCTTACCTCCAGCAAATTTTAAGACATCATTTCGGTGTTGTTCAAATGTTGTTCTCATGTCAGCAATTTTTGTCTCAATTTTGTTATGAAGATTGCAGATACGGGTTTCTTGTTCAGCAGACTAATCAAAAAAAAAAAAAAAAAAAAAAAAAAAAAAATTGATTAAGGAAGACTAATGAAAATACATTATCATAATTTAGATGTATAATCAAACTCACTAACAACAAAACAATACAAGTAAATCTAAAAGACAATATAATAATTTTTTTTTATTCATTGCCATTGCAATAACAACATAAATAAAATCATAACTAGGGATGGAAGTATTAAAAATACACTTTGGGAAATTTATTTAAGTGCAGTAGTTTTCAATTTTAAAGCCACATAATATCAGAATGGGCTAAATATGAAATTGTGGCGATGAAAGTAGTTATCAAACAAAATGCTCATGGGTTGTATGCATTCTTTGCTAAAAAAAAAATAAACCCCCAAAAAACAACCCCCCCAAAAAAAAAAAACAAACTCAGAGCCAGTTTCTAGCACTTTCATATAGAACTCAGCAAGTCATGCAAATTTTAATCTTACTAATCACAGACATCTCAAATGTGCATATAATCTCCTACATTTGATTGCCAAGTAGTGCACTTTTATTGTTTGTGTGTTGATATGTGTCTAGATTTTATGACCTGCATAAATCCTCCCAATTACAGAATTATGTAATGAGATACTTGTATTAAAAATTTATTATGATTTGATAAATTTTAAAATTACAATATTCTATAAAAGAATATGCTTAAAGAAACTCAAGACTAGAAATTTAAAACTTCAACATTAATGTTTTGTTTATATCAACTGCACCCCTTACTTTTCGTTATCTAGATGAGTGTGTTCGTTTTATTTTTGCAGATACTCAAGTCAATTAGAATAAATGCTTATATGCCAAAGAAGATTATCGTTGGTTGGATAAATATCAAATACATTTTGACAAATAGAGCAAAAAGGCTGTTCATCTGAATCTTGATACTGAAGAATCAAAAACACTTTTTAACCCAGCCGTGCCATTGAATACTACTGCCATATCTGGTCTGGTAGTCCTGCTATTCATCTCAAGACTTTTTGATAAAATCCAAAGGATCTATAACGTAATCGATCCTGACTTGGCATCTCGCCTCCAGTCACTTTCTCACTGACATGACATGGCTTCCCTTTGTCTTTTCTACAAATATTTTCATGGCAACTGCTCTAACAGGTTTTTTTTCTCTGGTGACCTGACATGAATTTCAGTGTGTTACTAGATGAGCATCTAGGTCCCACTTGTTTATTGCTGAAATAGCTAAATGCAACTGCTACTTCTACTCCAACAGTTTCTTTTCTCACACTTCCCACCCGTGGAACTCCCTTCTGTTTACTTGATAACTACAATGTTCCAAAATTTAAATGCAACATCAATCACCATCTTCTGTTCATTTTTGTCCTTTCCTCAATCCTCCCTATTCTCACTCTTCTCTTTCACTTCCTGTAATCCTCTGTGTACTAGTGGCATTCCTGCCTTGCTTGGGATGAAATGATTAAAAAAAAAAAAAGATCTAAGTGTTTAGAATCTTTTCATGGATTCCATAATACACATGCAGGGAAATTTTTTAAAAAGTTCAAAATTATCAAAAATTAATTATTGCTTTTAAATTACTTTCAAGAAAATAATCCAGTAGTTTTAAACCGTTTTTGTTGTTAGTGAATGAAAATAGATTTTCCATCATATCAGATTTAAAGGTAAAGACAATATGAAAGTTTCAAAACTCACCACTTCCTTTGAGCGACTTTTTTCCAGATTAATATCAAGAGTTATCTTCCCTTGCAGCTTGGTCACTTCATCCTTTATTTGCTCTTTCAAATGCATAATTTCTCGACTTTGTTTCTACAACGAAAAAAGTAAAAAAAAAAAAAAAAAATAAGATAGCACAAATAAAGAAAAGTATACATTCTATTTTAACATTTGATTTTTTATAGATTAATTATGTGAAAAAGTTTCCAGCACCTTTTACAGGAAGCTAGATACTAAATATATAGTAGAAAGCAATCTTTTTTAAACAACTAAAAAAAAGGTGGCTGGAAGTTTTTATACATCTTTTGGAATTGGAAATGCCTTAAGGATATTTTTATTATTTTTTTTTTTAAGCATTGTTAACCATTATTAGTATTTTTATGAATATGAGGAAAAGCTGAAAGTTCTCAATTTAATAAAGAAATGCTCTAAAAAAATTACTTTTAGCCAGTTTTGGTACAGTAGGCTGAGCTGAGAACTTTTCAGTATCTCCTTATATTTCTTTCATTTTAATTCTTAACAATATGAAGAACATATCCAGTTGGTTTTGTTTTTTTTTTTACTAATATTCATAAAGTCTAAATGCATTGTAAAGTTTAAAACATTATGTTTATGAAGCAGTTAGACATGTAAAATTTTGTAAAATATAACCAAATTCAAAAATCAAAAAATTTAAGAGGTTTCAAATTCAGTAAGGATTGAATGAGTAAGAAATCTTTTGACAGAAGAGTTGTTATGCCACAAATTAAACAGAAATAAACATATGCAAATAGATCCCAGAGTTTCAATAGTAACATTAACATTTGAGTCTACAAAGAATACCATTCATCTTCAATGAAAGAAAATATTTAGCTGCTTCAAGGATTTATTGTGATTGTTTATTTCACCATAAATGTTAAGCATATAACAATTAAAAGCACCCATGGAAAAACATTTAGTTCCTACCCATAGGTGTTTAATACAGTGGAGAGTCTTAATAATTAAAGAGGGCAGAATTATTCTCAATCTCTATCTATAAAAGGCAGGATGTGTGTGTGTGTGTAAGTAACGAATGCACGGCTGCAATTTTCGACGGATTTGCACCAAAATTTACATGCACATGCTCCAAGTTAGTGGGAAGGACAAGACCAACTTTGCATTTCCCAACCCCCATTGATAGTGGAAATAATCGATTTTTTCATGCTTCTATGGCAGTTTTCATGTAGTTTGCAGCCATTTTCTAATGGCCAGAGTGAGAGCCTATAGCTGGCTGCGACGAATAGGCAGGAAGATTCTATTGGCCAGCATGAGAGCCAACAGATGACTGACACGAATGTTAACTAGCATGCAAAAAAAAAAAAAAAAAAAATCGATAACTGCATTCGTCACAAGTGGGAAAAATTTAAATCTGCATGGCACTTTACTCCAATTAGCTCATTCGCTTGCATAAACTCAACGTTGATTCTGATTCCACAGAACTGAGTTGGGTGTGAAAAAGTATTTGTTGTTAACATTCTTTTTTCATTCGGTTTTTCCAGTTACGAGTCCTTTTTTAAAAGCTGATCATTTTGTGTTCGTTTTGTTTAGTTTTTTTTTCGTAACAGATTTAATGTTTAGTAGAGAGCTTAGAAAAAATTTGCAGTGTGAGATAGGCAAGAAGTAAGGCATGTAGCAACATCAGCATGGCAAAGGGCACTCCTTTAAAGGCAAGGAAGGGCAAAAATATTTTAAGTCAAGTGATAGTGATTACTGTATGAGTCGTATGATTTTTGAATCAAGTATGGGCAACACCATGCCATGCTGCTAGGATACAATAAACATGGGGTTTTAATAAAAAAGGAGCAATAAAATCACTTAAAAAGGCTCTAAAATTTAGAAGTGGTGGTGAAGACAACCATAGTTGTTTCCCTTTGGAACTTCTATATGCCGTGCCCTTTTAAGTAGGTGATCATGGCTCTCCACAATTTCCTGTACTTTGTAGCTCTCTTAATAAATTTTGTCTTTTTGTTATCTCTCATTAACCTTGTTCCACCATCCATTTACTCAAGCTCACTAGGAAGGTTATGTATAGTTTCCTCTGTTCTTCTTGCCTGCAACCTGTCCTGTGAGTATCAGATTATCCAAGCCTTCTTTCCTCATTATGTGCCCTAAAAATTTCAACTGTCTCTTCCTGATGTTAAGCAAAATTTTCCTTTTTGTTTCCATTTTCTCTAAAACTTTGTTATTGCCCACGTTTGGTCCATGGTATCCTCAGCATCCTTCTGTAGAACTACTTTTCTGTTGCTTTAAGTCTCTTGAACTACTCTACTATAAAAAGTGATGGTTGAACTGAAGCTTCATTAAAAGCTTAAAGGTTCATCTGTTTTATTTGCAAAAGTAAAGAATTGTTTAAAAAACATTGATTTAAAAAAGAAATTGGAACATGATAACTGTAAAGAATCAAAATGAACAATATTTTTTTTAAACAATGCAATCATGAAAGCCTGCAAGTATAAAGTTGAACCAAATATAGTTACTGTTTGAACTTTTGCACAGGCTGCTGCTGATTGTGGTTGGCTTTGTTTTGATGGTGGAATGAAAGAGTTTATAGCAACTCCTTTAGGGTGGGGGGAAAAGAAGGTGGTGTTTTGGGAAACACCAGGAGAGAGAGAGAAAGAAAGAGCCAAGAAAACTTTATGTGCACAAAATGAGGGATAAAACATTGTCAAACAAATTGGAATACAATTTAATCATAACAATGGTGATAATTAAGTGAAAAAGAGAAAAGGCATTTTTAGAAGGGTAAAAGAGAGTTTGTAAAGACTAAGGACTCAGAGAAATAAAGTTTGGAAAAACAGATGTCTGTGTAATATAAGTAAGTTGAAGGTTTTATATATATATATATACATATATATATGTCTGTGTGTGTATGCATATATACTTATATATAGGTCTCTGCTGGTCATCAATGACTGTGGATTAATTCCAACCCATCTGTAAGGTAGGATCAAGCTTGGGCAGGATGGTATGGAGGACACATACAGCTAACAATTCAGAATTGGAGCCCCCTAAGTCTTAATAAGTTTCTGGTGTGGAGGTTGAAAAGTTTCCTCATGAACAAAAAGCATTCCCACCCAACCTCCTATCAGGCACCTAAGACTACACAAAGTTCTTCTGAAGGCAGCACATAAAGCAAAAACTTACCTCTGTGATATGACGAAGGTTGGAAAATTCACTTTTTTCAAAAATAATCATGTCTTTTTTAAGAGCAGCTATTTCGGCTGTCAGTTGCTGTAACAAAATCTCCTGTTAACATAGAAAAGTATCCAGAAAACACACTTTAGTCACTTCATCGTAAAAATGTACCGAAATTAAAAACACACTTGAGAACAAACTTAAAAGCAATTCCTTGAACCTAGGGAATGCATTTTCTAAATTTCTCTAATATGGAGACAGTGTATGGGGGGAGGGGGTCTAATGTTTGAAATAATCAACTAAAAATTGCTCCTCTTAATTCATCTCCTTTGAACTGGACAACAAAATAAATAAGGAAATCCAAGGCAATTTTTTCTACTGCTGTAAGAGAGATCAATAAGCATTACACATATGTCAGATTTTATGCAAGTCAGTTATCACAAAATTTGTATTAACCATCTTATATTGATATAAGTTTTCAGGCTATACTTATCTCTACAAGAAACATGACATGAGAATTTCAGGTTATAATATCTATTCTGATTAGAAATATTTATGACAACACATTTGGTGGTTTGAGATTTAATTCTACAATTCAAAGCTTGTCTACATTGGCAGACTTAGAGGTCAGGTGGCAAGTTGTTTTTTTTGGCGGGGTGCATTTAGGTGAATTAGTATAATGAAATAGCAGACAATTAGCTGTACCATTTTTCCCCCCACTCTCATATTCCAATTGTACTATTTTCACCAATATTCTCTTAATGGTTAAGTAATACACTTGACATTTACTTTGTGGTTACAGTTAAGGGATTTTTTCATGATGTCTATATAACATTTTATACTAAAAATTGTTTTTTTTTCTAATTATTTTTATTTACATTCTTCCTTTTTCTTTGTCTACAATCAAAACAAAATGGACGTCATTGTAATCTTTCTTTATATTTCATAAATGTTGTTGAGTTTGGGAATGTTGTTTAGAGGGGTGGCACATTCTACAATTTATTTATTGTACTCTCTCTCTTTAATGTTTTTATTTCTCATATTTTTTTCACACTCAGTAATCCCCTTGCATTTTATTGGTTTTATTGCCTTGCTTGGGATGAAATGATTTAAAAAAAAAAAAAAATAAGTAAGGTAGCACAAACTGCTAGGTATGCCAGTGGTTGTTTATCATATTATAAATAAATCGATACAATAGTATAGATATTGATATCTTTTTTCTGATAGAGAAAAATTGCCATGGGTCGAAAGAAAGATATAACTTTAAAAAAAGAAACAATATACTGGAAAGTTACTGTATCATGTTAACAAAATGTTGGAACTTGTGAAAACGTTTTTTTTTGTTATTTTACACTTGACAGGTAAAGTAACAAACACCTTGATTAATATTATTTGATGAGGAAAGAAATAATTATCATAATCCCATTTCTTTTAATGCTGTTATTTATCTTCAGGTATTTGCAGAAATAATTTCATCCTCTGTGCAGTTGGGGATGAGGGGATTAGTTCCAGAAATCTCTATGGATGCAAGATCTGAAGTCTCTTATATAAAATGAGTGGTGAAACTCACATGATACTTTGCTCATATAAATCTAAACATATCCTGAAAGTTTTACCAACATTATTTGGTTAATAAAATGTTTTTATCATGAAACGAGTGAATTATGAATTTACAAATCAAAATCTGTCATTAAAATAAAAATTGAAATTAATTGGAATATAAAAATAATTTTGTACACTTTATAAAACCCAAAATAGTTGTAAAAAGTGATAGTAGAGAACTCTGTCTTAAAAAATTTTTAAATTTGTATTAGAAATTTGTCACCACCCTTCACCAATAACCTAAGAAATTATTTGGACTTAAATAAAATGATATGTGCTTGAAGGATATTTAAAAAAAAGAAAAAGAGTTCCATTCCAAATTTTAGAGAAACAAAGGTTCATACAAAACATGAAACAAAAAGAGATACAAAACAAAAAATGTTGAAATGAATGCTACAGACAAATTGAGGATCTATAAAATGGTAAACAGTTGCAAAGTAGCATGGTAAGGATAATGGCAAAGTTAGTCATTTCTGTACAGGAAACAGCATTCATTGACCAAACTGTTATTCTCAGCTAAAATTTACAACTTTTTTTAAACAATTTTTTAGGAAATTAGACTTCTCAAGTCCACTGTTATCTCTCTTTCTAGTAATGATGGGAATTTCCTTCCAAACCTTTTGTTTAAAGTAGTGTGAGCTTCATTATATTATTATTCTCTTCTTCATATGTTTACACATCACTCCATTTGCGTTGATTCAGCATAGGGTTCAGTTCATGACAAATTTAAGTTTTACAATTGTCAACTCTTTTCCAAATACTTTTGGTTTATTGTTGGCTGAATCCATAGATGCAAAACTTGTACTAGACCAATGGTAGATACTAGATACCTACTTATACTGTATCTAAAATAGTTTAGTTTGTTCAATTTCTTCACTGAATACTTAAGTTATTAAATGGTTCAAATCTTGAAGTATATCATGACATACAATAAATAGAGCTGTGATAAAAATTAGATCATGTATACTATACCAGAGTGAGTTCAAATTCCAGAAGGGGCAAGTGGATAATTTTCTTTTTCACGCAGCACTTAAACATTTCTTTTAAAGCAAAAAGCAACAAAATATTATATGAAAGAGAGAAAGGAAGCTGTTTATTGTGATAGGATAGGAGCTTTCAGAAAAAATTTTTTTTTTTTTTGTTAAATGTCATGTCATTTTAGGAGCTGGATCTTCACTCTCCAGATTCCTTTCTTTTATTATTAGTGAACTACCAGGACTTCTTGGGAAAGATAGTGGAATAGCTTCCTGTAGCATTTCCAGGGTTTTGAATTCAGGTTTTTATTCTCCTTCACTGGTCAACAGCCAAGGCTAGAGAGCCCAGTCTATACTGCTATTCAGAAACAAATTAATGTCTTTCACAGGAGTATAAGTGCAAAGTACATGCCACAGTAACTGGCTGATAATGTTAAGCAAAGAATGAAAAAAAAAAAAACTAGAACAATTTACATGAAAAAAATATTAATACAAATTTTATCGACTTGAAACAATTATTTTTAGTTCATTTTGAATAAAACGTTTAGGACCAACTGATTTTGTTACCCATTGATAATATTATCTGTGATTACAGTAAATCACTTCTCCTTGTAACCCTGACTGCCTGATAAGTACGGTAGATGCACTTTCACACAGCGGGTTAAAGTAAAGTAACTTCTTTCTTCCTCACATGCCATGTGTGATGCATGCTTTGGGGATCATGTCAATTACTTTCTGTAGTAGACTGGTTGCCAACCAAGGCTATAGGACCCAGTCTATCCTGCGATGTAACCCATATCTGGGAAAGGGAGAGATGGATTCATACCTTTCCCAAGGGTATTTGTGCATAAGTGAATGTAATGAACTCAACTGGAAAATTGTGCTTAACTCTTCAATTTCTCATTCCAAGTCATTATCCATCACACCATCTGCACATTCAAGCTTACAGCACCTAGTATTCCCAAGTGGATACCCATCGAGGATACTGACCAGTGTCAACATTGCTTAAATTTGGTGATCAGACAAGAACCAGTATTTCAACATGATATAGCCGTAAGCTGATAACGTAAAATAGTACTAATCGAAATTTTGTCCTTATGAACTTCCATTTCTGAATTTCGACCACAAATTGAACTATTTTGTTATCCAATTCACTTCAGAAACTCTATGAACTTCTTTCAGTACACACACTAAACTGTGTATCCAAAAAATTATTTTGTTTTTACTGCTATCTTCAAGACGTATGTGATCATAACTCTCCAGAGATTCCTTTTCGGTTTTTTTTATCTGTGAATGGCTATGCCTTCTTGAGAAAGATAGTAGAGTGGTTTTCCACTGATTTTGAATTCAGGGTTTTTCTTTCTCTTACTGGCTACCATCCAAGGCTCGAGAGCTCAGTCTACCCTATTATTTAAACCATAAAAGAGACATTTGCAAAAAATTGAACTTTTTCTAATTACACTTTCCATGCCGATAATAGTTATGCTACTTCGACATCATAAAACTATCCAAAAACTAAATCTGTCCAGGATAGATAATTATTTCAATGATTACAATATAAGTACACTGATAACTTGTTTTAATGGATAAAAAGGGTGGAGGGCATTGGTCTGATAATGCCAATTGTCCATAGTTACCAACATTAAGTTTGGTCAAGTCAAGAAGATAACCATGAATAACAATGTTGTTCAACAGATGCTGAAATAAAAACCTTACAGATGAGATCAGAGTTGGAAAGATTTCGGTTTTTTGTGTTTATTTGGCACATAGTAATAAAGTGAAAAGGACTTTCAGATTTTATTGAAAATTCATATGACATTTGTAGATATTAATTTACCTGTTGATATTTAGTGACCATGTTTTTTGACTGTTGATCCAGTGTATTGTTGACAATTTCAACCAAAGCTTCAGTGATTCCTTCAGCTTGTTCTTGTGTAAAACCTTAAAGACACAAAATTTATAAGGAAATAAAACAAAAATAATTGAATGAGTTTTTGTGAGAAAAAAAAAATGATTTTTCACTGATCAAAATTAAAATCCTGCTTGAAGAATTTGATACTCAAGTAATATTAATAGTCAGAAAGAGAGTATAGAAAAGGTTATAGCATATTAATAGTCAGAAAGAGAGTATAGAAAAGGTTATAGCATATTAATAGTCAGAAAGAGAGTATAGAAAAGGTTATAGCATATTAATAGTCAGAAAGAGAGTATAGAAAAGGTTATAGCATATTAATAGTCAGAAAGAGAGTATAGAAAAGGTTATAGCATATTAATAGTCAGAAAGAGAGTATAGAAAAGGTTATAGCATATTAATAGTCAGAAAGAGAGTATAGAAAAGGTTATAGCATATTAATAGTCAGAAAGAGAGTATAGAAAAGGTTATAGCATATTAATAGTCAGAAAGAGAGTATAGAAAAGGTTATAGCATATTAATAGTCAGAAAGAGAGTATAGAAAAGGTTATAGCATATTAATAGTCAGAAAGAGAGTATAGAAAAGGTTATAGCATATTAATAGTCAGAAAGAGAGTATAGAAAAGGTTATAGCATATTAATAGTCAGAAAGAGGTTATAAAATATTGGGTTAATCTTTATTCTGTTTTTGCTGTTAGTTAACAACAAAAAAGCAACACAAGATTGATATCAAGCAAAAAGAACCCCCACTAACCATATTAAAGATGATCTTTTGCCAAAGACAGCAATATTGCATATATGAGGGTATTGGAAGGTTTTTTTTCTCCTCTGAGATCCTTCCAGAGAACCAAACAATGGGTTTGAACAAGTAATGCACCCAAACAGACCAACTGAAAACACTAATTGCTTGCCCCATGATCTCTTGTATTTCATATTGTTGTTAAGTATCCACTTTTCATTGCCTATATCAGTATATTTAAAAAAAAAAATGGAACATTTTCATGATGTTTAGTGAATCATATGTAGAAATACAATACTATAGGACTTTTTATTAATTTATGTGGAAGCAACACATCAATGTGATTAACATAATTAGAAAAATGCAAATGATTTTTCAAAGTATGATTTGGACAATTTGAGGATGTTGGCTATTTCCTCATTTATTAATTTAATCCCTGTCAACATACATTAACAGATGTAACAATTCAATCAAAAGTCATATATTTTCTTTTAAAGTCAGGTTAAAACTAAATGATTTTAATATCATCTAATGACAGAAATATGTTGAGTCATAAATAATTTCCATTTCTATTTATCAACTTTATTCTTTAAAAATAAATTACAATTACATATTTATAGGTGGGGGATGGTAGAGTAAAGGATTGCAGCTTGGATTGAGGAATTGGAAAACTGAATTCATTACATTCACTTACGTGCTAATACCCTTGGGAAAGGTATGAATCCAAATATCCCCCTAGCTATGGATATATAGGAGGACAGAGTGGGTTCTATAGTCTTGTCTAGGAAAAGGAAAACTCCGAATTCAAAACTGTAGGTAGCCCTGGCAAAGCACATACAATGCAACTAAAGAGAGAATTATTTGTATTAGCTCAACAATCCTGACTACGGTTGACTATATTAAAATGTTAATTATATAACATAATTAACATTTTATTCAATTATATATTCATTATTTGCAATGTCTTGTTGCTACTATCAGGCAGATCTTCAATACCTTTTCAGAAAAACCTCTGTAGGTTTTAGTGTGAAAAAATTTTTGATAAACTCTTTAATCTGGTTTTCATTAGAAAAAAAATTTTCTCATCAGAGCATTTTATAGTGATCAAAAAAGTTAATACAAGGTCAGATGAATATGGCACGTGGAGTAGAAACCAACTAAGTTCCAAAATCTTTCCCTGTGTTATTCATAGTGTTTTCAACAAGTTATCTCAAACTTCAATTCTGTTATAAATCCTGATAATTTTATATCAAGGATGGTTGGAGTGCAAAGAAAAATCCTCTTTTCATGACTCACTATTTCTAAGATCAGTGTTGTGTCCCCTTTCAAAGAGATGATTAGTTTAGCCCCAAAATGAACTTCCTTATTTTACAACTGATTTTGCTCATAGAAACCATATCGCCAATAACCAGTATTTAAACTACAACATGCAAAATCCCTCCTTCTTAATCTTTGGCATGCAGTCAGTAAAATCTTGTCACTTCTGCTGAGGGGTTTATCAGAAACCTCCATTGGAAGTCAATAATTTCAAATAGCCTAGTGGATTAAATTTGATTTGATGGATTCATTTTCTACAGCTTATCAACCCTTTGCAGGTTATTTAAAACCAGGAAATATTTTTAGATTGTAATAAAGTTTTTTTAGTTTGGGGGGAGGATATAATAGTAAATTAATGATAAAAGTCTTACTAATTAACCCATAGCTGGAGGGAGAAGAGGTGGATTCATACCTTTCCCAAAAGTATTTGCTCATAAGTGAATATAACAAACCCAAAGGGAATTGGAACCTGGATCTCCACTTAACAATTCCAAGCCATTATCCTTCAGCTTGTTCTTGTGTAAAACCTTGAAGACACAAAATTTATAAGGAAATAAAATAAAAATAACTGAATGATTTTTTGTGAGAAAAAAAAAATGATTTTTCACCGATCAAAATTACCAACCCACACATCCAAGCTTGTGGCAGCTGGTATTCCCAAGCAATCACCTATCTAGGTACTGACCAGGCCCAATGTTGCTTAACTTCAGTGATCTAGTGAAGTGTTGGTTTGTAAATTTGGTGACATAGTAAATGGGATTAAATGTCTTCATGAAATCACAAAGGCCTTTAATTCCAATCCTGACACTAGAATTTGGAGCCTTAAGCCTGTTGTTCTTTCCCGCTTGTTACCATTGAGTCCAAATGTAGTCACCAGTGTGACATCTTTTTATAATTGTGCAGGTTCCTTCCTTAGTTACTTAGTCCATCAGTCAGTATTTTTATTTCATGTATTTATTTCAGTGTGTGTCATACTTCAGTTAATTTTATTTTTAGTTTCACTTAATTAGAACCTAATTTATATGCCATTTTTCAATTTCCTTTCAAATTGGTTTTATATTTAACTCCTATTTCATAAAAATTTTTTGGTTTTATGTCAGACATGTACATAATCGTCTAACAATGAAAGAATACTACAGCTATTGCCTTGCATTCAGAGATGGGTCTAGTGTTATTCACAGAGCTGGAAAATTATGTCAACAGTATGTTGTGGATGCATATGTCAAGGCTGAAGGTTGCAGATTACAATGTCTCAGGGACAATCAGGCCCAATTGCGAGTGGAAAGGTACAACAAATTGATGGACTATTTGAACACAGGAGCAGATGAGAATATTGAACCAGGAGTGCCAGTGATACTGCCCTCCTCATTCACAGGCAGTTCAAGGAGTATGCATCAATATTCTCAGGATGCCATGTCAATTGTTTCAAAATATGGTAAGCTAGACTTGTTCATCACTTACACTTGCAACTCAAAGTGTCGTGAGATAATCTACAGCAAAATGAAACACCTGAAAATAGGCCAGATTTAGTTGCCTGAGTGTACAAGTCACACCTTGCAGAAATTATGAGGGACATAAAGGATAGACATATTTTTGGGTGCCAGTGGCTCATGTTGATGTCACTGAGTTTCAGAAGAGAAGTTTGCCCTACTGCTATATGTTGGTAGTGTTGAGAAATGAGGAGAAACTAAGAAACAGTGATAGGATCATAACTGCTGAAACTCCTGATGCCAATGATGATCTAGTCTTGCATGATTTAGTGAAAAAAAAAAATGCATGATACATGGTCCTTGCAGAACAGATAATCCTTCTTCCCCTTGCATGGAAATTGGCTCATTCCTAAAGAATTTCCCAAAGAACTACAGAGATGAAATGCTTCTGAATTTGAATGACTATCCAGAGTACAGAAGACTAATTGCTAGAGTCAATGTTCAAGTTGGATGTCACTCAGTTGACAATAGGAACATTGTGTCATACAATGCCTACCTTCTGAAAAAGTACAGAGCCTACATTTGAATGTAGAAATTTGTTCATCAGTGAAAAGCATTAAATATATCTTCAAGTACGTGTATAAGGGACATGACTGTGCTTCTGTTGAAGTAAGAGACAACCCAGTGGAAGATTGTGATTAGAAACAAGCTCACGATGAAATTACTAATTATCTTGCTTGCCGATATGTTTCTCCTCCAGAAGCTATGCGGGGACTGTTAAAGTTCAAGCTACATGACACATCTCACAATGTCTACAGACTTGCTGTACGTCTTGAAGACCAGCAAAGAGTTTACTTTCACAGAGGCAATACTCAGCAAGCTGCTCAGGCATGGAGGAACCGTGACACTACCCTCACTGCATGGTTTAAACTGAACAAGCATGATGATGATGATGCAATGAACCACTTGTACCCTGACATTCTGCTGCATTATGTGTTTAATAAGGGCTCTAGAAGATCGACACCAAGACAAAGAAACCATCAGTAGAATGTATAGCCATAGAGACAGAAAAATTTAATATGTGAATGTTGCTGCTGCATATTCCAGGCACTGTGAGCTTACAGGATTTTCACACTGTAGAGGGAGAAATCTTGCCAACATTTAAGGCAGCATGCCTGAGATATGACCTTCTCTCAAACAATGACACACTGGAACATGCATTGCTAGATGCTGCTGCCTGTCAGATGCCCTTACGGTTGTATGTTGTCTGCTGCGCTGTGCACTTATATGAACCCTGTAATTGCTCTTCACCTGTGGACCCCCCCACAAGGAATCGATGATTGAAGATTTCTTGCATCAAGGTTTTAATGCAGACCATGCAGAAAACATCTCACTGCATTCAATTGATGCAATTCTGATAGAGAATGGCATTAATTGTTTAGCAATTGGGCTGCCTGAACCTAATAGAGTATTGCAGCTTGACCATCATGAAGACCTCGATCACCTAAGCATTGCAACACTTACTGATGAACAGAGACTGATTGCTAATGCTGTCTTTGAATTTGTAGATAAGAAGAGGAGAGGTGAGGTGCCCAAAAACTCCTGTTTCTATGTAGATGCAGGAGGAGGTTGTGGTAAAACTTATATGTTTAATACCATAATATCATATCTGCAAAGGAACTTGTGCAGTGTTGCTTGGACAAGCATTGCCTCTACACTACTGTCAGGTTGCCTGTCCCACTCACAGAGGCTAGTGTTTGTAATGTACCAGCCACTTCAGACCATGCAAATTATTTACGAAACCTGAATTTGATCATCTTGGATGAGGTTTCTATGATCCCTTCATTTGCTCTTCATGCTGTTGATAAAGCTTTGCAAGATATCACTGGCATTGCTGCTGTTTTCGGTGGTAAAGTTGTGTTCTTGGAGGGAGACTTTAGGCAAGTCCTACCTATATTGCCAAGTCGTGAGGTAATCATTGTAATCTGTATTAAAAATTCTCCTCTATGGCTGGTTTTCATCCAATACAGATGAGCCAAAACATCAGGACAACAGCAGATCAAAGGGAATTTGCAGGCATGGTTTTCTGTCACTTCACAAGACCCTAATCTTGCTGTTGATGACATAGAAGTGCTGCAAATTTCATGCATTTACAGCTCTCTAGTGGATGATAACTTCAACAATACATCTGAGGAAGAGACAAGGAATGGAGTAATTCTTTTGTCAAAGAACTCAAACTGCCTCTTGATCAATGAAAAAGTTTTGAGAAACTTCCAGGTGACTGCTGCTCCTATTATATTACAAATAAAATTTTGACAGATGATCCTGCTGAGGCTGAGCGCTACCCACTTGAATTTCTATCCTCTTTGATACCATTAGGAATGCCTCTGCATAAATTGAGTTTAAAACCCGGATCAATAGTAATGCTTCTTTGTAACATTTCTATACAGAATGGAATCTGCAATGGCACAAGATTGGAAGTGGTGGCTATGCATCAACATTCAATTGAGGCTTCCTTGATTAGTGGCTCACCAATTAGCAGATTTGTCCCCATCCTGAGAATAAAGATGGCCCAAGTGGCTCTAACTTGCCATTCAACTTGGAGAGAACCCAGTTTCCTGTCTGCCATATGCCATGATTATTAACAAGTGACAGGGGGCAGACATTTGAGAAGGTAGGATTGTTCTTACCTCATCCAGTGTTCAGTCATGGGCAATTGCAGGTAGCATACTCTAGAGCTAGCAAATTCTCAGATGTAAGGGTTAAGGTGATGGAAACAAACAGACAAGGAAGGAGAAGAGGGTGAACTGTTATTAAGAACATTGTCTACTGAGAGGTACTGGTCTTGAAGGAATGGAGTGTTTTCAGAAATTCTGGAGACCCTTGATTGCATTAGGCATGTGTCCTTGGTTTAAATGTGTGTGTATATATATATATATATATATATATATATATATATATATATATATATATATATATATATAATTAAATGAATATCTTTCAAAAGAGGAAATTATTTATATGTGGCATGTATTATATAGTTTTGTACATATATAGGTCTATTGTTTTCTCTATTCATATTGGAGGAAACTGTCATGGCTCTATGTTGGGAAGGGGGAGTACCACAGACCGATTGGTAATCTTTGCACACATTGTGGACACTCCTAATTATCTCTATATGTTGTTTATTTTCCAAGCCTATGAATATTGTATGTTAAAAAATAATAGATTTAATAGTTAAACTTTATGTATTTGTAAATATACCTATACAAATATATGCAATTTTACTATTTGCTGACTATGTATCTCATTCTATATGTAGAGATTTTAATTGCTCCTTCTTCAATGCAATATTTTTATGCATAAATATATGTAGAAAAAATTTGTTTACTCAACATTCTCTTAGTTGGTCCATGGAAATTCCATAGGTCCAGCTAGTTTTGATAATTAGAACAAAGCTGAAGGCATTAGACTGAATGTAAATACTACATCCATTATGTTTAATAAACACTATTGTTGCATTTATCTTTACTCATATTGTCTTCTTTCTTTCTCTTTTAGCTGTAGACATCGAAGTCAGAACATAATTTTTAGCTACAGTGTTGTATTTAATAATAGTCTGTTATAAAAGCTAATATAAAATAAAAATACATTTAAAATAATATAATCAACAGTATTGTAGTCATTCATTTTCAGAAATATAAATATGTTTACAGTAAAAAAATATTTTTGAAATGAAATATTATTTTCCACTGAATAAAAAGATTTATAAATCTATATATTAAACTAATAGTGGGTAAATGAATGCCAAAATGAAAAACTCCTTAGTGATGCCTTTCATTCTGAGAAGGAGCTTCTTCAATATTTTTATTCATGGAGTCAGTCTTATACATATGAGGCTCCAATCAAAAAGTATTGGATCTTGTGCTATAAAAATGAAACTACAACACATCATATTAATACCGCATTTAAACTCCTTTGAAGTAGTCCCCTTCTGAAGCTACGCAATTCATGCAGCATCAATGGGAGCATTGGGTGGGGGAATAGCAAGCAGCTGCCTTGTTGCACCCTCTTGAATTGCCTTAATGTCTTGAAATTTTGTTTCTTTCATTGAAGTGGGATTTGATTTTTGAAGAGAAAAAAGTTGCAAGGGGCAAGATCTGAAGAATATAGTGGCTGTCAGACCTGAGGAATGTTGTTCTCAGCCAAACAACTGTTGCACAGGCCATGATTACTGGTGCAACCTCTGTGGTGTGGTGAGATGACCACACTCTACACACTTTCCTTTCAATCACAGCTATAAACAACAGAAGCAAGAAGGAATGTTCTAACAGTGTACATGTACAACTGAGTTCAAGGTCTATCTGTGCCATGTGGCTCCACTGTGTACTTCAGCTCCATTGTCATAGCAACAGTCACGATACTTTTTTGATCAGACCTCATATATCTTATAATAATAATAAACAGAAGTTATAAAAAGCTGAACCCCGTCAATCTATCGAAACATGGTGTTGATAAAACTAAATTCAACAGATGACGTGGCAAATTTCATCAATTCAAAAAATACTGACTCAGGAATACACAGTGGTGACAATGAACTGCGATAAAACAAAAAAAAAAGGGGGGGCGAAAGAGAACAACTTTTTGCTTCAACACCTCCTTTAATTGGTATACCAAGTAGCATTCTTCATGAATTACTTGGTTGTTCAGAAGACTGCTATCAAAATACCTTCCTAAAATCATTTAGAGATGAACACTGGATATCTCCACTCCAAATAGACTTCTTCATTGCAGAGATCATGTATTCTAGAATATTTTGGGGTTAAAATCAAAGTGCTGCAGTCAATGTTTGACAGTCCCCCACCTCCAAAAGACCTGAACTACTTACCTCTTAACTGCAATTGTTGGACTAGAGCGTGCGTGTCACAATGTAATGTTATGCGTAGTGTAGATAAATCACTATTTCGAGCCTGGTAACCCATCCTTTGAATTTGACATCCTGTAAGGAAAATAATAAAATTCATCTCTTTACAAGCATGTTAAAATCTTTTTCATTACAATTTTATTTTTGAAGCAGATACCTTGCACTCTAACAATGTTTCTTTATAAAGGTGATGACGACCCTTTTAGGAGATAGGAAGAAAGGTCCAATAGGATAATGCATAGTGATTTTAGGCAAATGCCAAAAGTTGTACTGTTTTGTTTTTTTTTGAATAAGCAGGCATTTTTAAATGAAATTGGCAAAATAAGAGCAAAATAATACAAAAAAGGAACAATGTAAGACAAAGTAAAACAATATCTGTCTATATTTCTGAGATGAGTTGTTATGTACACTATTTACATTATTCAGACTATTGTCCTCAAGGACACATGGCACAGTGGATAAAGGCGTTGGTTAGATCCAGTGACAGGACCCAAAGAGAGTGAGTTCAATACCCGGTTAAGGCAGTGGAGAACTTGGAGAGGGGAATTAACAGGAGATAACTGACATCCATTAAACATGACACGTGGAACTAGAACAGTCTACCCCATTGAGCGAAATAAAGGGTTCAGTTTGACATTCCAACCACCTGAAGAAGGCCAGAGCGTACAACAGCTGAAACGTAATAAATATGGTGACAAAGATGAGGACAATAGTCTGAATAATGTAAATAAAGTAAAACAACTATAACAAAGTAAAGCAATTATAAAAAAATAAAAAATAAATAGTGTTCAAATGCAAATGGGATACAGTCAAGTGGTTATATTCTCACATACAGGAAACGACAAGACCAACATTAAATTGAAGAAGAAAAGCTTTGTCATTGGAAGTTTCAAGGAAAAACATTTATGCTTATTTGCATCAGCATGAAATATAATTTGTTTGCTCGCAGTTAATAACAGTTCCAAAAGCAATCTTTCACCTTTCTTTTCCAAACCTCCCTATGTTAATTTTTTTGGACAGGAGTGAGACTCATATTAAAACTTGGCAAATCTTTTTTTTAAGGTCACATTTTTGGAACATCCTTACTACTTTGCAAATGAATTCTTTATTGGGTACATTTAGACAGTTGTTGCATAAAGTCAAACCTCAGTAATTTCAACTTCATTTTTAATGAAACATGTATGTATGTGTGTGTGTGCATAGATAAAGCTGAGTGAGAATCTAATGGAATGATAAACATATTACACAATTTGGAAAATTTCTAGGAACTGGTATCATCAGAAAAAGAAATATACATCTACAAACCATCCTGAAATTTAAATAATTTAAAAAAAAATAATTTTATCACATGCAAGGGGTTACTGAGTGTTAGAAAATATGAGAAAAAAAAAAAAAAAACACTGATAAGGAGTGAGAACAATAAAAGAACAGGAATTAAGAAGACAGACTATAATGATTGACATTGCATTTAAATTTTTGAAGATCAATGGTGACTGGAAGTTGGAAGAGAATTCCACAAGTGAGAAATGTGATAAAAGAAAATATAGCATAGAACTTATGGTTACATCTTGTCATTTCAACTGTAAAAGGATGAAACCTTGCTGCCAATCATAAAGTCTCAGTACCATAGTGGAAAGTTCATCAGAACAATTACCATGAAAATATTTATAGAAAAATCATAGGGAAGCTACATTATGGCAGTGGAAAAGTTAAAGCCAAGATATCAGGTCAAGACCAATAATATTGCAGATTCTTTAAATTTTATTAAGAATCTCTAAATATATAGCAAGAGCACCAGACCAGATATAGGCTGCAATGGGTAATTGTTGCCATTTTATATTTTTTAATTTTACACATGCATGTTGTTTGATTTTGATGACTGTATAGTAGGAACAGTTGGACACCATGAGAAAAAGAGTACCATGACATAATTCACTCTGCCAGAAATTTTCCATGCTGTACTGCTTGGCATTCATGCCAGAATCTCCAATACAAACATTACAGAGTGATTGGGTGTCAATCAGAGGACAGTGGAGAGTGACAGTAAGAGAAAAGAATGTGTAGTGGGGATTGAGAAAAGGAAAAAAGGACAGGGACCAAAGCAACAGAATATGGTGATTGATGTTGCATTTAAATTTTTGAAGATTGTAGTTATCAGGGAAGCAAGTGAGAGGAAGAAGTTTCAATGTCAGGAAGTACGAGGAAAGAAATTGTAGGAGTAGAAGTAATGGTTACATTTAACTATTTCAACAGTAAAAGGGTGGGACCTAGATGCCAATCTAGTAGCATGCTTAAATTCATGAAGTTGGAGCACCAGGGAAAAAACTTTTCAGAGCAGTTGCCATCAAAATATTTGTAGAAAAGACAGAGGGAAGCCACACCATGTCTGCAAGAAAGTGTCTTAAGTTGGGAAGCCAATTCAGGATCGATTACATTACACGTCCTTCTTTGGGTTTTGTCAAGAACCTCAAGTTGAACAGTAGGGGCACCAGACCATATATGGCAACAGTATTCAATATAAAGTTGAATGGTAGGTTTGTAGATGTGTAAGATGGACTCTGACAAGAAATACCTTCTGGCACAATGCCGTAAACCAATTTCCTTGCAGTAGATGCTGCTATTAATTCAATATAGTTTTTCTACTTCAAGTCAGTTGAAAACGTGAGGCCAAGAAGGCACAGTGAATTGCTCTCACAGAGACGAGCATTAACCATGCTGATGGAGGGAGGACAGGGATGTTTCTCTATGGTAGTTAAATGAGAGCAGTTTAGTTTTGGAGGCATTAAAATTTACAAGCCATTTTTTGGCCTAGTCAACCGCTGATTGGAGGTCTTTTTTGAGAACAGCAGTCAGGTTAACTTTGTCAGTGCTGCCGGGTTTACTATTGAGACAGGAGTAAATGGTAGTGTTGTCTGCATAAATGCCGGCTGGGGAACTGATGACATCAGGGAGATCAATGAAGAAGATCAGATGCAGTGGGAGTCTAATTTAGAAATGATGTCCGAAAACATCGATGGGATTATGTGCATTTCACTCAGTATAGCCTCAGTTTTTTTTTGGGGGGGGGTCACGTGTGAGCACTCCAGATGAAGTGAGTGTTAGTTTGAAGAGAATTTACAAGCAAAGCATTCAGCCTTATCTGCTGTAGATGTTAGTACTTTGAATTGATTGAATAGAGGAGGGATTCGGGATTTGCTTTTTGTTCAGCACACTCTTGCAGAGCCGCCAATAATCTCTAGAACTGCTTGTGAGATGCTATATGTTGTTTCATTCTATCAGCAAATAATAACTTTGCTTCCTTGAGGACAGGCTTGCACTCATTATGAGCAGAAACAGAGAGATAACTGTTGCAATCAGACATATTGCTCTGGTACAGTCAGAAGAAGTGATACAGTGGCTGAGCAAGCAGGTGCGAACCAAGGAGATGAATGTGGTTTTATTTGGTATTTCCTAGCTGGAATGAAAACATTGATGCCAGCTTTCACCCAGGAGTAGACCTCAGATGTTCATTTGAAAACTTCATTCCAAGGGATGTCATGGAGGAAATCACGGAACAAGTCCCCAGTCTGCTCATTGATAACAGAAAGATATTCTGTTGCTAGGAGATTTATGTCTGGTGGAGGAGCAAAAGGAAATGTTTACAGACACTACCTCATGATCAGAGTTGCTAAGGGGGCAGAGCTGCATAGTGCGACGAGTCAGTGCTAGAGGAAAAAAAGGATTAAAAAGAGAAACATTTCCATCAGGATTACTGGGGAAATGCATAGGAAAGTTAACGTGTGAGTGATTGAAAAGTTCAGGGTTTGGATGCCAGTGATAGAGTGCTCAAGCCACCTGGTATGGTGAGCGTTTAAAGTCACCGAACACAAATATGTTTGCAGACAGGTATAAGGAAATGGTCTTGTTTATATTACCAAAAATACTGTCTAGCATGCAACAGTCTTGAGAGGAAGAAGAGATAGCTGACTGAATTAAGTAGTGAGAAACGGAGACAGATGTATGAATGGTCAGGACATTCAAGAGAGAGCTCCCTAGCTCGTGGGAAATGTTTGCAGATATAAACTCCCAGGCCTTGCTCCTTTCTAAGTAGAAGGTAGCCAGGGATCGAGAAATCAGAGGAAGGAATAGATGAGTTATGGCTAGTTTCACAAAGAGCTAGGATGTCTGGAGACTTTTCAACGAGGAACAATTTCACACTGTAGAAGTTAGTACGAATACCATGAATATTGAAAAAGGACAGGTGATTTTTGTTGAACTGGTTTAGATTTGCTTGTTTATAGTCATGATGTGTTTGGTAAGGAAAGGCCTAGGGTAGTAGTAGCTGTTGGTCATCAAATGTAACATGGGCAGAAGGAAACTAGTGCAGACTGCAACATGCTTGCAGGGAAACCCATCCATATGTGACATGACACTGCAAGAACCCCAATATTATGCAACTGTTGATCAGAGTAACCCCTCAAGACACTATGCAAGTGTTTGGGCTCATAACTACCAGTCCAGAAAAGCAACCAGAAAACTGTCAATCCGGTACCCCCAGAATGAAGAGACATTGCCACCAACCACACGCATCACAAGAAATTCATGACCACACCACTATTAAGGCCAGAGAAAAGAAAAGGAACCGAGAACCCCTTCCTAAACAAGGAACAAGGGAGATGACCCTCTATCCCTGATCATGAGAAGAGGGAGGAGTATGGATTGGGTGATGTTTTCCAACCCTAAACACTCAATCAGTATCACCCGCAACACAGGTACCACCTTAGGGAAAAGAGGAGGCAGACAGAAGGAAAAATAGGCTGACAATGAGTTGAAAGATCATTCACAGAAACTCAGATATTGGCTCACCACTGAGACATATGGAGGGAGATGGTCAGGTGCTCAGCATAACAGGGACCTTATAGCCACACCTGGTCATGTGACTGATGATATTTTTTCCAGAGTATGACACTGAATGAAAATGTAGAAACACTGGTTTTATACATTGGTGGTACATAGGGCCAAGGTAACCTCTTGATGTATCACATAAGATCTTTTTCAGTCCTGAAACAAATGGATCTCAGAAGTTTAGAGAGAAC